TATCAAAAACATACACAGGGTCTTACGACGATTTCATAAAAACGGATCAAAAGTAAAACCAGCTAAATGTGATTTAAGCAAAGAAGTAAGGTACTATAGAAAAGTAGTGTCTAGAGGGTACCGTGCTGAAAAGAAAGATGTGGCTTCTATAATGTCGCCTAGGACAGTTAGAAACAAAGAGAAAAATTAGGGGTCTTCGTTTATTGGTCTTCGGTCTCCGTTTTATAGACACCCAACTCACAGGAGTGAAAATTGCGTCTGACTAACCTATCCAATCAAAACAAAATTAGTGTCATTGTATATGCACCAAGATCAATGAACAAAGCTGAGAAAAATTATTATATGTATGCAAAAAAATCTTGGCACTGATATGGACTATTACTGAGCACTTCCATGAGGGAGCCTCGCAGAAGTAAGGCAACGCGTATACCCGTCTGCAATGCGTGGTTTGGGATTAAAAAATTACGTTAATCTATTCGCGTTGCCGACGAGTGTTTCCAGATACTTATCAAAATTTTGGACGATTCCATTTCGCGAAATAGGATTCCTTTTCTAATGTTACCGTTTTACTTGTTCGTGTTGGTTTCTCTCGTGATGTTTATGTACTGTAATTTGTCGGCAAATCTATTTTCTATGTTTTGTTATAGGTCAATCATTATAATTATTATTATGAATTAATTTTAATACTATTACTTGTCATTGGTACTGAGCAATTTTGTAAACATTTACAACCGTAATTTCGAATACCAAGATGAAACCCAGTGAAATTTCCTATACACTTTACTGTAAGTTATAATCAGGTCAATCGCATGTTGTTGCCATATTTATAGACGGAATAATCGCAATTTAATGCCAGCACCTCCTTCTTCAATAACTATTCATAGGAACACTCCCACGGTTCTACTCATATTGAAATACACTCTAAATTAAGCTTGCTGCGCGGCGAACTATGCATAACGCAAACCCTTTGTACGCAGCCCAGTAATAACGACGCGACGTTACCATGGAAATTGTCATTCGTCGGTAAAAAAAATATGTATAGAATAAATTAAGAAAATACCAGTTTCTGAATTGTTGTGTGCAATTAAAATTTTGTATTTACTGTTCTTAGTAATTCTCATTTTATTATTTCTATTTTATATTTTTTAGATATGAATAAAAATAGGTTTGTCACGACACAACTAAAATTAATTACTGTACAATTATGACTGCAAGGAAGTGAGAAATAGAAACTCAACAAAATCAGTTCATTCAATGGACCATAAACTAAACTGCCTTTAATATCGTCGCGTGGCCCACTCGCATACGCATTGCTTTATATTACGAGCCTTCCTGATTACATCATTCTCTCTGCCATACCATTAACAGTTTACACCGAAAATAAGTCTTTGATGCGTGTTGTAAGTACGGCTAAACCAAATGCCACAGGACACAGGTGGTTGCAGAGCTGTCGAATTTCATTTCACAATCCAATATAGGCCCAGGAAAGGCAATTGGTGATGCCGACGCATTATCAAATCACTCATCTCGACGGTGGTGGCGAAGCCGATTGATCTAGAACCATTTATCCTGGAATTGACCGAGTCAATTATGGTATTGACCAAGTCAATCCAGGTATTGACCAAGTCATCTACATTCAGTCAAACCAAAATTCGTCAGGAAAAACCCGATGACCATGTCCTGAGAAGTGTCATAAAGTAAAAATAAAGGAAACCATCTTCCAACTAGACAAGTAAGAGCACAGTTGCGTATAGATATCCAACTAATCTTAAAAAAATAAAAGAAACTAAATGTAAACATTCTTTTTTTTTTGAGCAGCTAAAAGAGTATTCTGGTGTCGAACAATCTCTACAAGAGAGATAGAGAAAGGGGGGGAGAGGAAGAGAGAGAGACAGAGAGAGAGAGAGAGAGAGAGAGAGAGAGGGGGGAGGGAGGGAGAAATGCATCCACCTCGAATGTTCGCATACAGAAATATGGGAACACCAGACCATTCTTGTATGTCAGACACAGTCTGAGAACAACAATGGTTTGCTAAAGCCAGTGTTTATACCCTAATTACTGAAGCACCTAAGTGCCATTCGACTTGACAACTTGTCAAGATAACTATGTTGTCAAGTCGACATAACATACATATCATGTCGACATGGCGAGATAGATTATCCTGACAAGTAGTCATAGTAAAAATTGTATGTTGTCATGGCGAGATAGATTATATTGACAAGTCGACATAATACATATTGTCTGTTGTTATGGCGAGATAGATTATCTTGACAAGTTGACATAATATAAGTTGTATGTTGTCATGGCAAGATAGTTTATCTTGACAAGTCGACATAATAAAAGTTTTATGTTGTCATGGCGAGATAGATTATCTTGACAAGTCGACATAGAAAAATTGTATGTTGTCATGGCGAAATAGATTATCTTGACAAGTCGACATAGTAAAAATGTTATGTTGTCATGGAGAGATAGATTAGCTTGACAAGTCGACATACTAAAAATGTTTTGTTGTCATGACAAGATAGGTTATCTTGACAAGTCGACATAATAAAAGTTGTATGACTCCAGAGGCCTGAGCCATCCTCCTGGAAAGACTGTTGTTGTATTTGTAATGGTATGCCATCTAGTCTAAGCTTAATTGTTTTTCCCAAAGCCAAAATTAGCATTACTATGCTAGGGTCTATTCTAAATATTTGAGGCCCGTTTTATTAGGGAGGACTATTTTTAGTCATGCATATCTAGTCGACTCGAGTGAATCAGTTTCGTGGCTCCAAAAATATGAAGATTTGATTGGTTAAAATTGTTTATTTCGGTCTGCCCATTTATCCAAATACGGAATGTAAGATAACGTCATTTTTTTTGCATGCTGGTGCCTGCATTTAGTGTTTTACAAGTCTGTTATTCTGTCTCTAAATTAACTTTGTCGTTGGTTGCGCTGTCCAGAATGAGGAAAATAATTAAAAATAAGAGACTTGTGGCAAGTGTGGAAACGCGCGTCCATCAGAGTACTTTTCGTTTAATGCAGGGGTGGTGACAGGATTTGCCCGACAA